TTGGAAATCACTTGCCTCAATAAGTAAAAAGAAAAAGGAAGTCTTCAAGATACCCCCAGCACCCCCAAAACTGAAGAACCCTTCTACCAGCAGCATCTTGTGGTCCAAGAGTAGGTCAGAGCACAGTAGGTGAGCTAAAGGGTTAGAAAGGAGAAACAGTGCTAGCCTCTCAGCTTTCCTAGATAATCTGCTCTTGGAAGATAATTATTCCAACACAAATGATACCCTGGTCTACAAATGCACTGAAGAAAATCATCAATCTATTTCTGTGTCAGGTAGAACTTTGTGGGTCTTGTACAGACTATTAATTTCATGGAAAACAAGCAACAGGGGAAACAGATAAATCATTAGCAGAGTGAAGAGCAGACCCAATGAATTGCTACCAATTCCTGCTTTCCTTTTCTTGCAGAGAGCAAAATGACAAAGTATTTATGTCCTACGGTCTTTGATATCTCTGTTTATCTCATTAAAGAAGAAATGCTTCTGAAACCACAAGGATATGTTTTATTTCAAGTTTCAAGAATTCAATCCCAAATGATTTAAACGAGGTAACTTTTGGCATAGAGAATTGTAATCATTATTTCTTAAATTCTATCATTTCAAATTTCATCAAAACAAAACACTACAGTATTAACTTTCCTTTTGTTTATTGCAGGCAATATATAATATTACACTTGATTTACATAAACAGGATACATATATTTGAAATGTTAATTGTTCTAATGAAAAATTTTAATTAAAAATTTTTAATAAGTTAAGGCTAGCAAAAACAGTCAGAACTTTTGAAATAATTGCAATCACAAATTCCTATTTAAAATTAATTTCTCCAAAGTTCTACATAATGTATTCACTAGTCTCATCAATGTTTGTTTATTAAAGTCAGTGTTTTCAGTAACGGAAAGAACCATTATATAATGCTTCTGAGTCTCTTTCCATCTGTCCTCTCATTTTACTATTTATCCAGTAGTTTAAACATAAGAATTACACTTGGACCAGAATGGCTAAGCATCCCCCAAAGGGCACAGTGCTCCACCACTGTGCACTCTATTTTCTGTCATTTACTTACCAATTCCAGCAGCCTTCCTCAAGTGCTTGTCCCATAACCTACAAGAGCAGTTACTGTGTAATCCACTGGAAAACAACTCCACTACTTATACAAGCTCCATGAGGGCAGGCATTTTTTTATCTATTTTGTTCACTCCTGTATCTTCTATGCCTAGAACAATTCCTGACACACAATATATATGTGTTGAGTAAGTAAACAGGGTGAATGAATGAATGAAATACATGTTATCTGTTCCATTGTACAGATCAACTAAGACTCAGGAATTCTGTAAAGGACGCAGTGGTAGGGCCATATTTAATGGTGAGCCAACCTCCAGGATAGGGAGATGCGGTAGAATAAAGAACCTATCTTTAGGTCACCTCCTCTCATGTCCTGGGCTCCTTATACAATCCATGCTGCCTTCCTACCTTTCTGACTCTCTGTAACTTTTACATATAAAAGCTTCTTTCAACCCCCTGCCAGCCCCAGCCAGCCCCAGCGGCTCTGAGGAGCCTGAGGCTCTATCTAGTGCTTTCAGCCTGTTCTCTCAAGCTCCTACCACTAGGCTCCCTCAACTTTTCTACCTTTTTATTGCCGAGTGGAGGATAACTTCATTCGCATACTTATCAGAGACAGTTCTTACTTTGACCAGCAAAGCTTCCTTAGCACCCAAAGTCAGTCTGGTAGCATAGTGTTCTAGTCTTGGTTCTTAATGGGTTTATCAGTAACTTCACCTCCATTCTCATTGAAGGTCCTTGGGTTGAAGGTTCATTGTAGACCTTCAAGGGTCACTCTGGGCTAGAAGTGAACAAGAATCATAATGAAGGGCTAACAGTCAGAACTGGATGATTTTTCCCAACTACTTTACCCATTGAGATCAATCCTTTTCTGACGCATGTGGTCCCTCTTAAGTAGATTAAGACTCTAGAGTCCACACATTTCATTTCTAAACTGATCGCTCACTGTCCACATTGACTGTCTTGTACATCTCTCAAAAATACTTGCTTCCAGCTGCAGGAAATGCAATCAATTCCAATTGTGAGAATGTTTTCCATACTATCAACCCTTCAACCCTAGATTGTCCTCTGTAACTTTCACCCACCTCCATCCTGGCTTTGACCTCTAAGTCCAAATGAGGAAAGGCAGACCTCTTTTTCTCTCGAAAGTTCACCGAATATGCCAGGTGGTTCTTGCAGTCCTTTCTCAACCCTCTCCCCATGCCTCCCATGTGAGTCTACTTTTTTTTCATTTCCTATTATTAAAATTTGTAAATGTTAGGACTCAAAATCAAGGTAATTCAGAGAGGGAAGTAAGAACGGAACTTGGGACCCTAGTTATCCAACTTTTTAAATTGGATATGATGTGAATTTCTAATTATATATGACTCATAAGATATTCATACCATAGCCACTAATGCCAGATGTCAAAACATAGGTAATAATGTTTACCTAATACTAGTGCCCAAATCATCTGTTTGAGAAAGGAAAATGTCAGCAGCATTTTCCTTTCTCAACATATTCATACAATTTTAAAACTGTTCATTTTAGCCATTCACTTCCCAGATGAAACTGCGACCCAGAAGATTTAGCTAACAAGCCCAAGGTAAGTTAGTAACAATGTTGCAAGTAGTTGAGGCATTTTTGGCCATCTTCCAAACAACAAGTTATGGTTCTATTAGGTACTCCTGTCTGTCATTTTTTTCCAAACTCCTGTCTTAGTAATGTCAGCTTATTAACTCCCCAGGAAGCTACATTTACATTGTTATTATTACAACGATGATAGATTTCAAAACTAGAAAATTCCCTAAAGAATAGTCAGCTTTTCTAAGACTGGACAAGAAACTGAAGGCCAAAGAGGCCTGGCCACCTGTTAGAGGCGCTGCTGCAATTCAGCAGCAGAGCCAGCAATGGAGCCCATGCCTTCTGATTCCAACCTCAGATTTTGTAGTGTTCGGCACAAACGACTAGCTAAACACCATGAATAGTATAAACCAGAGATTGTCTTAATCTAAAACAATCATATCTAGAAAAATAGAATGTTTTTAAAGTATATCAATCCTGTCTTATGAAATTACTAGTCTAGAGAACCATTTGTCAGAAAGATGGTAGACGAAGGGAGTTTGAAAAATGGGCAGGAGGTTGGATTCAATGACCTCTGAAGTCCCTTCTGTCTCTAGGGTTATTTGCTCCTGGACTGACCAGGAGCCAGCACCTCAGCTAGCAAGTGCATCTGCCGAGGCAGGGAATGTGCCCTGTCCCATAGAGGTCCCTCTCCTGTGCTTGGGTTGGACCCTGCCCTTCTATTACAGGCATTACTCTATATCCAATTTACATGCAATGAAATACTCTAGGCTTAGAAAAAGTGTAAGGAAATGCAGCTCTGTCATTTCCAAAGACAGACTACACTGTTTAGCTTTCAAAATTGCCTTGCCTAAATGAGCATTCCATAACTGAGCCTCCAAATTCAGCTTTTCCAGTTTATTCATGTGCTATGCTACTATCAGAATTAATTATGCAGCATCTTCCTGAGGAGAAATCAGATTTGGATGCAAGTTAGGAGAGGAAAGAAAAAGGTGCGCTTCCCAAAGGCAGGTTACTGTGTATGATTCCCCCCCAAACTCTGGAGTCCTTCCATGAACAGACAGGTTTCAGATGGCAGTCCCCAGCCGGGCTAGCCATAGGAAGGAGGAAGTTGACACATTTGAGAAATGAAGAGTATGCCAACGAGATTCTGAAGGCCAAAATATTATTAACCCCCTCTTTCCTAAGCAGTTCCATTCCAAACCGGAATTCAACACAAGTCTGTTCATTTGTCTTCCTGAGTGGCTACTAAATACTAAGATGTACTGATTTAGGACTTTTTCTTTTTTGAATAGTTCAAAGGATAGAAGGTTTATTTTTTTATCTCAAAAAATTATATTAAGGGTGGTGCTCTGAAAGTTCGAAAGGAGCTTCCTCATTAGGGCTGTCACATTGAATATTTTTACATAAATGAGATTTTTAAAAAATCAAACTATCTGGTCACATACATGGGGCCCAGGTGTTGCCTAGATTTCAGAAGAGCAAACTGATGCTCTACAACTCAGTGCTAAATTACAAAACAACAACCAAAACAGCCTTACAAGATAGCACAAAAGTAGGAGGAAGTGATTGTGTAGACAGTCCATGAGCAAATCCCAAAGCTCTGCTGTCAGGCGTTGGGCCAGGTTCTCCCCTCTCCTCCCGCTGGTGTGCCTAGGCACTGAGGACGGCATGCCGAGTCATGGTCTCCAAGGCTGAAAAATGGTAGCTGTCCGATCTGCGTTCAGCTGCCGCCCCCCAAAGCACTGATGGTATATTTGAGGTCTAATCCATAGGAACCCTGCACTTAGGAGGTTTGGAGAAAGGTTCCCAGGCCTTCTTAGCTCCCCATTAGCCTGCTAGCGACAGCATCTGTTCCGCCTGCTACCAACATTAGCTCAATCCAAAAAAAAAAAAAAAAAAAAAGGGCCCCTTTTCCCCTCTTCCGAGTTTCGCGGCACTTTTCTTCCAAAGGTATTTCTAAAAGGACAGCACAACTCAAGGAAAGGCGCCTACTGGGAACCCCACGGGCAGCAGCTCCAGGAAAATCGACACGGGCGTTCCAAGTGAGGCAGGTGTACAAAGACAGGGAGGAGGAGAGGGAAACACGGAGGCAAAGAAAGACTTGCGAGAAGGGGGAAAAGAAGAACAGCGGGAGGAGATAAGAAGAGAGTCTTGGAAAGATGTGTGAGAGGGAAGAGAAAGGAGGAACGGAGAAGAAAGAGAGGGAGAAGGACAGAGAAGGGAGGCGGCGGGGAAGAATGAAAGAACGTGCCGGGGAGCGCTGCACCGGGACTCGGCGGGGAGGTGGCCGCGGGGACCGGCGCGCCCGCGGGGAGCCGCGGGCTGCGCTCCACGCGCGGGCGCCCAGGACGCCGGGCGCGCCCGCCGCTCACCTTTCAGTATGAGGGTGTCGATGTCCCGGTCGATGCCCAGGAAGTAGCACTTCCTCCAGAGGCCGGAGTAGGTGGCGAAGAGCGGCCGGCCGCACTCGGCGTCCAGCCCGCCGAGCCCCAGCAGCGAGCGCCAGGACTCGGGGTCCGCGCGCCCCGGGCCGCCCGGGAGCAGCCGGCGCCCCAGGGGGGGCGAGTCCCGCAGCGGCAGGTGCGACAGCGGCATCAGGCGGTTCTTCTGGTCCGGCGGGTCGGCGCCCGTGCGGCTGCGCTCGCAGCTCTCCTTGTGGCGCCGGGGGTCGGTCTCGTACCAGTGGTCGGTGAAGATGGCCGTGACCAGCAGCCCCAGGGAGCAGAGGCTGAGGCCGAGGCTGAGCGCCGTGACGAGCGCCCGCGGCTCCATGGCTTCCCGCCCCGCCGCAGCCGCCGGTGGGATCGCGCGCCGCCGCCAGACACAATGCACTTGGCCTCGGCGCTCCTCCGCGCTCCCTCCCGCGTCCCCCAGCGGCCCCCCACCTCCCTCCCGCGGCCTCCCCGCCCCCGGCTGCCGCCCCGCCGGCTCCCTTTTCCCCTTCCTCCTCTCTCCTTCCCACCTCCTCGTGCCCGCTCTGCGCCCCGTCTCCTCGCCCACCCCCGCGCGATCGCACTTTCCTGCCCTCCTCTCCCAGCCCCCTCGGCTCACTCTCTGCGCCCCCTTCGCGCTCACTCCTTTCCACCCTCTCCCCTCCGCCGGTTCTAACTGTCGGCCCTGCTCTCCGGCGAGCTCCCTTCCCTTTTTAATCCCTCCTCGCCGCCCTCACTTTTCTCTCTCTCATCCTCCTCTCTCCCCTTAACCCTGTCTCCACTTTCCCTTACTTTTCTTCAGCTCTTCCACTCTCTTTCCCCCCCGCTCATTTGTCCGTTTCCCGGCTCCGGGTCCCTTTTTGTCCCTTCCCTGGGCTCAGTGCTGCTTTCCAGCTACCCTTGAGCACACTGTCTCCGGTCCTCTGCCCTCCTACGACGTTAAAAGACATCCACCAACATCAGACTTAGTCTTGTCACTTGTCCAACTTGATTTTGATCAGTGTTCCGTTTTGTGCCCAGAAGCAAATCCCATCAGGTGGGGCTGCGTGGTGGAATTTAACTCTTGGGAATCTGGGTCCGGAGCTGAAGACCCCTTCTCCCGTCCTTAGCAGCTCTCTGTCGCCTTCCTCTTTCCCTCTCACTTTGCAAGCTCTGAGCGTTCTCTCTGCTCCAGCCCGTCTTCTGAAAGAAAAGACTCCGACTGTCCCTGGAGCGGTAGACCAAAGGCGAGACAGTTTCTCCCACTTCAATTCCGCCAGCTCAGAGATGGACTTCTTTTTCTTTGACCTTCTCCATCTCCTGCCAGAGTGACATCCTCCTGAAATTTCTAGAAGGGCATAGGATCAATAAACCCCTGCAACGGCACCTGCTCTGTGCGGTGATTATTGCCTTTGAATAAAGCAAGCCCTGGTAATAAATCAAAGTAATGATTTTTCTCCCGCACAACTTTCTTGAATGGTCCGGGAAGGTCAACAACCAAGCAATGCCACCACCAAAGTCAACGTGTTAGCTGCACTCTGTGCTTCTGGCACACCCAGTAGTCACAGACGTTAATTCTGAGAATGGCAAGCAGATTCACATCTTCCAAAATGAGGAAGTGTTAGGACGCAGGTTACTGGAAGAGTTAATCATTTAAGTTGTGTATTCTTACAACCAAGGTGCAATACCGTCGTGCCACTTAGTGCCCAGAGACAAAAAACCATGCTGCCTGAGCCAAGGGACGCCAATTCTTGTGTTCTTATGCCATGAAATATTAATGATCAAGAGATTATGAGGCATTCATTAGATGCTAAATGTCATTACTCCACAATTTAATGGGCCTTATTAATTAGTGACCCACATCAATTGGTATTAATGTGATTTATATATTTCCTCTGGAATGACATCTGTAAAGGTGGTCTAAGAATCTTGCTCAGATTTATTTTCATTGCTGTTTGTGCTCAGTGTCTTCAGAGGGTATATTTCCAATGAAGACTTGTATCCCTTCTGAGCCATTCAGTTCACACATAGATCGCTTAAGCAAATCTTTCAGTCATATCAGACCCCCCATGCCCATTTCTGCTGATCTGACAATGTGAATTATTGCTTGGATTTTCTCACAGCTTCACCAAGATCTATGGTGAGCTCCAGTCTAATTAAGGAAGAGAAAGAATTATAATTTTAGTGTTTCTCTCACCTACAAGCTCCCTAAAAAGGAAATGCTAAGCTCATCAAAGGAGACTTATCTGGACTTATACAAAAATGATAGGATTTAGAAGATCTCTTTTATTTATACTCTATTATATGTGTAAAAATCCTAGATCTTTATGGATACACAGAGAGAATACCATTAACTGGGAGGCGACAGTGACAACTGAAATTCACTCAAGTTGTCATGTGCCCTCTTATTTTTTTTAACACCTCTTGAGATAAAGTGATTACAAACCTTTAGCAAGCCTTCACTCCCTTTTCAAACACTGATGTTCTACAGGAAAAAAAATATTACGCCACATTTCAGAATCACCTGATTATCTCCACACACTAACCCTGTCCTCAGCTGGAGTAGACAGAAACAAACATCTTTTTCAGGCACATCTGATGAACTTAAAAGGACATAACGTTCTGCTTCATTTTTCTAGCCAGAAGCCTTGGATCGTACCCTTTTTAGAAAATAGCATTATCTCGAAGTTCAATATGTCTATGTTTAAGACCAGTCTCAGCATATAATCCAAAAGTTACTGTATGATGAATTACCCTTGACAGTATTTCATTAAAAAATGTCACACATTACAAATATGGGCCAGCAGCATGTAATGAGCGCACTGCCTCTGCTGGTGCAGCAATAACACCATCAGCAGGGATGTGACATATGATGCGTACGTACCCAGGCTTGGCTACGGCGACTGCACATTGCTCCATCCGTGCCCTTAACATTTCTCTTTGGGGTATTTCCAACAACGAAACACCACCCACTAACCCCCACCCCACTCTGAGAGGGGAGTGGGGAGTACAAAGAGACATAAGTAGTTCCCGTCTTCAAGGTGCCCCAGCCGAGTGGTGACAGACACAGAGTCTGTCCCATGTGCTCTCCTAGAAGTAAGAACAAAGTGTTGTGGGAGCATGGACGATGAAATAAACTGACTGCTTCGAGGAGTCAAGCGGCTGCTTAGAGATAGTCACGTTTGAGCTAATTATCAAAGGATGAATTAAACTGGACCAAGAGGATTCAATCAGGCATATTGTCATTACAGTCAAAGTCTTAACTCTTCGCTTTACTCGACTACTTCGCAAATTTGGAGGCTTCAATAGTTTGGACCACTGTAACCTAAGAACTGTTTCTACATCTCTTAAATGATAAAGTCATCATGTTCTAATGCCTGACTACAAGCTAAATACTTGAAGATGAGTGGAAGCAGAAATCTAAGCCAGAATACAGTCACTGTCTGAGGACATTAGCCTGGCAGGGAGTCAACGTGCTGTGAGATCAAATATCCGGCCAGAGCACTGTAGCGTGTCTCAGCTGTGTCTGTGCTGTGACCTCAGCACTTTCAAACTTAGCTTGTTCTTTACTTGTCTTAAATATCTCTTTGCTGTCTCCAGATCTGCTATCCCCAATGCATCCCTCAGAGAACAACAATGTCCTAAAACGGCAAAGGATGGAGTCAGAGAATTTCCACCTGGCTGTCGCACGGTGTGATTGAACTCAGTATATCCAAGAGTAAACTCTTCCATTCCCTTATGGTTCAGCTGCCCCTCCCCACTTCTCTCTCTCTGTATTGACAAGTCATTCAAGTCACCTGGACTCAGTCTTTTAGAATTGTCTATCGCATTCACAAACTCGTGGGGATTTTCCCTTTGATGTGTCTTCTATGACCAATTTTTCCTCTGCACTTCTACCACTTGCTGTCACTGTGCCCCTCTGACCTCACATCTGGGTTATTATTACAGCTGCCTCCTTGGTTCCCACCCCTCCGGGAGCAGCCCAGCCTGCCCGTTAGCCTGGATGCTCTTGCCAAATGCATCTTCCTGAAATGGCACTTTGATTACGTAACCCTCATCTTCCAACTCTCCTTTCTAGGCTAGAGAGAGTCATGTACTGTACGACTCTAGGGTCCTTCCTTGTTTCTGTCAGGATTCCCATAGCATTCTAACATCCCAACTGATGTGTTGGCCGTGTGGAAATATTTAGGGAAAAAATGCCTCTCCTGCTCTAAACACACTGTCATAATACATAGGTGCTTTATGGCATTCATTGTATTTCTCTTTACGGTCAGGAAGTTTGTAAATAAATGTTTCCCTATAAAAATGTTCAGCGAGAGAGAGAGATCTCCAATTACCACAGAGCCACGGCAGTGATTTATTGACACACCCATGCGAAGCTAACCATGAATATTCTAACAGGCTTTCACCCTTTGCTCCAGTGTCAAGACCAAAAGCAATATTCTTCTTTATTTCAAACATTTGGATTCCACAGAATTTACACAATGCAATTTAACCTAAACCATGCACTGGCTTTCATAAAGAGTGGGGATTTTTTTTTCTTGGTAATTTTTTTAGCATTTACTCTAAGGATATAGTCCATTATGTTATTGATCTACAATATGTCATGTCTGCAAATAATTGAGGTATCTGGTGTTAAAGTCATGATTCTAAATTGTTTTTCTAAAACAATTCTGTTTCAATTCAACAACCTCTATTGAGCACCTCTAATGTAAGTTACCATGCTCGGCGGGCCCCACTGGATTATGCAAAGATGAAGCAACCGTGGCCAGTGCCCCCAGGAGCTGTAGGTGAGTGGAGGAGGAAGATAGAAATGCAAGAGGCTGGAAGGGGGATCGCCTGGGAGGAATGCTATCAGAGATGTGTAAACAAATGCAACAGGAAAACCTACGACAGAAAGATCACTATCATCACCATCCATTGGCACAAACGCGTGTAAGCCAGGCAGATTAGATGTCATTTCCATTAGGCCTTGGAGGAAAAGGGGTATTTTCTGTATGGGTGTCAACTTAGTCCAAGGCAAAGCCAAAGTAACTTTTAGAAGTAGCACCTACCCTGGTGCTCTTCTCTACCCCACATGCGGTAAGTCATCTTGGCAGTGCCATTTTGTCACTAACTGGAAGCCTGGAACCATAAAATACCACAAACTCCCAGAAATAGACAGAGCCTGATAAGTTTCTCATTCCACTGACACACTACAGAATGTCACCATTCTTTTACACATTCCCGTTTCCTTTTTAGAGACTTTGAGCACATATGGTGAAGAAAAAAAAAGTTCAAAGAAACCCATAACCATATTAAATCCCACTTAGTATGTGATGTTTTAGCAGATGGTGGCTTACTAATTGTCATACCTAACTGTACTCCCACCTTATCTGTGTGTGTGGGCACCGGGTTCGGAAGCGGGGGCCCAGTTCAGCTGCTGCAGGCCGTACGTGACCGCTGAGGCAGAAC